CCGGCACGACCTTTCCGTTTCGATAGTAGTGCCAAAAACAGTGAACACGAATTCGTAAACTAATTTTACGAATTATTTGCGAATTGATCAGCATCGTGTTTGATCTATTCTCTGTTTACGAATTCGCAAGAAGAATTCGTAAAAGTTTTTAAGAGTATCCGTACGAGTTCGATACAGTTCGCATCAATTCGGTACGATTCGCAAAACAAGGATAAAACGCGAATTGTTGCATCAGTTTTATGCTTAAAAGTTGCGACTCGTCAATTCGTCTTTAGACACTTTGTCCACACATCTCATCAGGTACACCAGAAAATCATATAATTTTGTTAGAACCCTATAATGCGATTACTGCATCATAATATAACAGAAATTATTTTGATTTTTAGTAGGAAAGTATATGCTTTGAACAAGAATTTCATAGGATTGCCTATATACTCCTAGCTCCAGTGAAATTTCTCCATCTATTAGCATTTAGGGACATTTACAAGTAACGACAATTCCTTCTTTCCGGACTTCTTAATCCCATCTACTGGTGAATCTTCAAGAGAAAAAAGTCCCGAGTAGAGTTTCAAAAGGCAAAGCAATAAAATAAGTGAATCTGAATGGGCCATTTGACATTAATACCAGTTTTTTTCATACTTTGCTTCAACAGTCAATTTATCTTTTTCCCTAGTAAGCGAATCCTGTCGGATACCATGGCTTTCTTCGATTGAAAATGTAATAGAAACGAGCAGTTCTGTTGCAGTACTGCCTAATCTTAAATAATTGTCAAGTTTTCCTTTTCTCTCAATGTAAATAGTATCTAGAACATCATGCAGAATCACCTGTACCCATTTATTTTGGAAACTTTCATATGTTATTTTCATAATTAACTATTCATTTCAGGAATAAACTAAATGTAAATGACTCTTACTATCGAAATTTATTTATTGTTGCTTATCTTTAATTTTCTCAATCAATTTTTCCAGCCTTCCTATTTCGCCTTGGTTTGCTTCGAGATTCATGCGTCTAATTTCTAAAGCTTTTTTAAAATGTTTCTCAGCAGATATATTATTTGCTTGAATAGCATAGATCAAACCAATATTTCCATGATAATTTGCTAGATCAGAATTAATCAAAGGTAACGTTTTTAGCGCTTGACCTAACGCCTGTAAATAATATTCTAATGCTTTACCATATTCGCCATTTCTATGATGCATTAAGCCAATATTATTTAATATCTTAGCTTTATTCTCATGAGACCCTGCAACTTCACAATTTTCCGAATACTCGACCAAGTCTTTTTGACAAGAATTTATGACATTACCATGGTCCTCTTGTACCATATTTTCCGATGTTGTGCGAGAAGGTTCAAGTAATTGTTTCCAATTGTTGTCAATATCACTTGGTTCTAATATTTTCGTGATAGGTTGAAAATTCTTTTCAGTGTCCCTTTTCTCAAGCGACAGTCGTTCGATATATAAACATAAATCGTCTGGATATTTTGTGCGTTTAATTTGAGAATGTGAATAACAATTGTTATGCTGTAAGATTTGCTCGATCTCCAGATTATTATTAAGTATAGCGATATCCAACGCGCTTGGACGAGTAACACTGCCACCATTTACATCAGCTTTACATTCTGAGATTAAATATTCAGTGAGTTGTTTATTATTTCGAGCCACAGCATACATAAGACTAGTATCACCAAAAATGTCCTGAGAGAAAGATAAAGAAAAAAATAAGTAATATTTGTTAATTGAAACGCAAGTAAACTCTGTTTTATGTAGTTTATTACATACGATGTTAATCGTTTTTGTATAAAATTAATTTGAAAGACTGAAACTTACTTGTGTATTTACGTGATCCATTTTAAATTGATGAATATACACGATACATTTAGTTGCTTCTTTGAAACAAGCCAACATAAAGGCAATCATACCACCAAAATTTTCTCTTATCACTAATGATCGATAACAGTTTCTACGGATTTTATTTATTTGATTGTGGGGTAAAGCCTTGCTTTTAATATGAAATCGGACAGTTAAAGCTTTCAGCATTTCAACATCGTCTCGTTCGACAGCATAATGAGCAGGTGTGTATCCATCTTTGTCTTGAGCACATGGATCAGCCCCTCTCATTAATAATAAGCGTATCCACACATATGCGATTGAATTAATAACAGCAACATGGAGAAGAGTCTACAGAATAAATCACCAAGAGTAAATTCTCAACTTTAAATTTCATAATTTCTGTGAGCATCCTCTTGATTTATAAATTGAGGAAATTGGCAATGTTCGAGTTTATCAGCAGTACTTCTGCTCTCCTAGGTCGAAATGTTAGCTCCCTTCCAATATTTTGCACAGTGCTGTATGAGCGAGTCTCTAGAGAAATACATACACAAACTATGATGCCAATTTCGCACAAAGATGACTGCCTCCCTATTTTTCTTCAAAAAAAGGAGAAAAATATAAATTTTACCTATTGCATTAACAACATCATCTTTTTTGTCAACAAAACATATGATGAGCCATCGTTTCTGAACGGACAGGCTACACGTCAATAAATGGCTAGAAAAAGTAAAACTTAATACTAATATAAAACAGCGCCCATTCTGTACTCAAGTAAACCTTTAAAAAGAAACAAATGTCGATAAGATGTCGTTTAATGTACACTGTCGAGCCACAGGTCCTTAGTTTGTGTTTTGATTCTATTATACCATTATTTATGGCTATTCTGTGTAAATAGAATGAAACTGAATTCGACTCTCAAAACCGAATGAACGAAAAAGAATGTCTGGTCTATTTTTTTTAAACGCTTTTTCGACCAGTTCTCAGAGAAAATATCATAAAAATCCTTTTTCAAAAATAAAATAAAACGTTGTGCATCTTTCGCATAGCTTAAAAAATGAAACGCATGTACATAACGAATTTTCTTAGTCCATGTGAAGGCATGCTAACTTTTTTATCCGTTCAGAAACGATGGCTAATCATTAATAGCCATTTTTCGAGATTGAGCATTCTATGTTTTGTTGACAAAAAAAGATGATGTTGTCAATGCAATAGGTAAAATTTATATTTTTCTCCTTTTTTTGAAGGAAAACAGGGAGACGCTCATCTTTGTGTGAAATCGGCATCGTTATGATGAATTGGTTTGTATATGTATTTCTCTAGAGACTCACTCATATGCGCTTCTAGATCAACATCACCGACTAGAACAAAGTGGAAAAAGTAGAGATAAAAGAAATAACTTTTAGGTGATGGGAGCTTTTATAGACCTTTGCAAATTTGTTTCAGTAAACTGAAATGTATTTGTGTTACATTATTTCCACTCTAATCTAGTCAACTTCCTGTCATGAAAGAAAAGTAGAATCGAGCGTCTGTACTATTATCAAGGAGGAAATAAAAGTGTTTACTTTCGTTTTGTAGGATTCTATATACTTCAAGTTAGGAAAATCCTGTTTACTGCTACGATAAAACTTACATTTGACCTGATATATACAAGCACCGCTTCATGGATGGATATATTATAGATAATCTTAGAAGCACTTTTTAGCATTAAAATAGCTTACTTGATTTCGATCATTTCTCATCTGAACCACTTCCACATGGTAGGCGTCTAGAACCTTTCTGAAAGCATCAAAATCTCCATGTTCAATGAAATCAAATATTCGACTGAAAAGACAATGATTTATAACATTTTAATCGTCGAGAGTTTATCATTATATCTTACCTTTTATCGGCGGAAGGCAACAGTATGAAACCAGAAATACTCATGTCATATCGATAAGTTTCATCATTTGGAATTTCAAATGTTTGAATTGACTGTGGAAAATTATCATCGAACGATATGTCTGCGTTACTTTCGATGATTTTTCTTCTCTGGTTCTATAATATGGTGACATGTATTAAGCTGTGATTCTGCTTCAACTTTAAATTGTTTTACTTGCATCAAATCAGTTTCGAAGTTCAGAAAGTTCTCCTCCACGTTCATCCGGCTGTAGGTCAAGTAATAGATTACTGTTTCTTCAGTATTTTTCAAGAGTATCTGCAAGTAACGTTCAATTAAATGTGAGTTAACCAGTTAAAATGTGATTAATAATAATTAATTAATAACTCACGATCTTGAGCAGTTAGGAGTCTAAAACTTTCAGAATTGCTGAAGATAGATGTTGCCTACTCGCTGTACGATTTTTGGGCTTATAAGTCAAACCTTTCACAGGATATGATGTTTTTATAGATTAGGCAGTTTTTAGTAAAAATTCACCATTGAAACCCAAAAAATCGTTCTCATCTTTTACTTGTCTTCATTGGCTCGGTAAAAACTTATTTCATCTAGATATACGTCCATAGGAGCCGTTGAGCGCCAGTAACACGAACAGAGGCAATTGAAAGGTGAGGGTGAGATGAGTGACCATTTTTCTCGTATAACCCTAATTGTTAGTCAAGAGAATACTTTTCACGTAGTACATAATGTTTTGTTTCTTCGTACATCACCGCAATGACAGGTAATAAACAAAGGTAAAGCTAGGTTAATACAACGCGAAAAAGATTCTTACATAAGAAAACCACACTCACGAAGTTTTAACTTTTGTATTTTAATAAGAAAAAGTACTAACGACCTTTTCTCCCCATGTTATAATATTTCCTTTAGATTTGACAAGTGTCTACGTAGTCTACGAAAACTTTTTCGGAGAGAAAAAGCTTCCTTTTTTTTCCGTTCTTCTACAGTGTTAGAATAAAGATATCTCTTCTAATGCCTTCTCTGGAACATCAGAATAATATGCAATAAGATAATTTTACTCATCATTTTCTATAGACCATCGGGAAAGAATTTTGTGTATGAGAACATCTACGTAGTTCTTTGTTATAGATAACGCTTCGAAAATAGATAATGTGAAGGGACAGTACACCAAAATATTCAGGTAACTATTTATCTCATTATGACTCATATCCAATAATAACAGTTACGAAGAAAATGCTGCTACCGTTGTATCATTCTTAACTACTGGACGCTGCGCAACATGAAGATGTTGTTTAAGAACTCATAATTTCTTTTGCTTTCTAAAGATGGTGTCGTAATAGTGCTGAATGGAACGAAAGTCGAGAGGTTGGTTTGGTTTAAGCTTTATTTATTTATCAAGGTTACAAAGAAGAACATGTAACATCCGGCATTGAAGCGGATAAATCCATTATCTCAGTGTCGGACGTTACTGTAGTTAATATAAGGGAAAAGTAACAAATGAATAGGTTAATAACATGAAGGTATCAGAGAAAGATTTAGGTAAAAATAAAAAATAGAC